TTTTTTTGTCAAATTAGTTTATATTTTATCAAATTGACGACTTTATCCTTGAAATTGAGCAATGGTATATTCAATTGTCCTTATTTGAAATAATATTCAAAATTCAAGGTCAAATGTGTGACAATCAAAAAGTTATGGATTAAAGTGACACAAGTTCCAAACTATAGGGACCTTTAGTGTAATGCGCCCTATAATTTTCATAATGGAGGGAGTCAATTGGGAGGGGGTATTTGGTGTGGCTTATTTTGGTCAATTTATAGATTTTAATTTTGAAATAATTATTTTAAGCTGTTTGGTTAATTTTTTTTTAATTTTTTTTTAATTTTAGCAATTTATTTCAACTCAAAAAAAATGATTTTGAGAAACTGTCTATCCCCTATTTTTAATATCAGCTTCTATCGTTGACATATTAATTAACGATTATATCTTTAAATATTTTTTTGTTTGAAAATAGAAAAAGAACAAAATGGATTATGGATTAGTTTTTTTAATGGAAAATGTGGACTTTTATAGTTAATTCAATTTATAATTAACAAGAATAAAAAGGATATTTATATATCAAAAAGCTATTTCAGAATTTATTTATCAAATATTACTCAACAAATTAAATTTATAATCTTATAGATGCATGAAACAAGTTAACTACTTATTATTAAAATTATAATCTATAATCGGTTAAATTATAATTTATAATTTATTTTAATAGTTGCACAAAACACCCCCAATCACACGTGCTTCTCTAGGCGCGTTGTGATGTCTCCCATCCGGGCCAATCCACAGAGCCAGCCAGCCAGCCAGCCAGGGGGGGTGGCTTGGGAAGCCAAAACAAGTTGGCCCCAGCTGCGTTGGCATTTGACATTTCTCTCTCTCTCTCTCTACCCCCCAATAATTCACCCCTTCACCACCCCCACCCCATTACACTTCTTCACAACAAAGCTCATAAACCCACCGCAGCCACCTCTCTCTCTCTCTCTCTCTCTATGGAGGAGAATGGTACTAAAGACCCAAGAACTCTAACCACATTTCACAGAAGAGAGAGAATATTTACCCACCACCACAACCAGAAGAGCAAGTGTGAGATGGGTAATGCAGGAGGAGGAGGAGCTGCTTATGAATCATTGGCCAGTGGCCGCCGTGTTAGGGGGCGGAGAACCACCACCACCACCACCACCACCACCACCCGAAAAAAGAGAAGAGATGATGTGAAGATTTTGAAGGAATCAAGGAGTAATAGTAGTAATACTAGTGGTGGTGGTGATGATGATGAAGAAGAAGAAGAAGATGAGAAAGCAGAGGTAGAGAGGAAGATCATGGCATTGCAGAGGATTGTCCCAGGAGCTGACTCACTTGTTGGCATTGACACACTCTTTGATCAGACTGCTTCTTACATACTCGCATTGCAGTCTCAACTCAACTCCATGAGGCTTCTTGCTACTTTCTTTGAAGCTTTGGATAATGGCCAGAGAAAACTTGGAGGGTAATGATTTTCATCATCAATTTATGGGTCCAGTGTAGTTTACTTGCACAAAAATCAATCACACAATTGGACGCAACTATCTTATATGATTGTGAAATTCCACAAAAATGTCAAATTTACCTTGTGTGAAATGGTTGTATCTGATTGTGTGATTGATTTCTATATTTCTAGACATTTTCTTTACAGTGTGATCCGTAGGTTCCATGGCACACCATATATATATATATATATGAGTTTTTTCTTTTTCTTTTCTTCCTTTATGTTTTTTAAAATCTCTTGGTTCTTTTGTTTTCTTTAGATGCTTATTGGTTTTTTTGTTTGGGGTTAAGGATGGTGGTTTAAAGGTTTAAGAGATAACCTCTGCGGTTAGTCAGAACTTGAAATTGCAAAGGTCACCTTTTGCGAGCAAGGATTCTCTCCTTGCATTCCTACTTCACTTCTTCCTTGTAATGGTTAATATTCATCCTAAAAGAATTTAATGGCTCAGATTACTTTATTAAAAATTAAAAAATAATTTTTTTAGAATGATCTACACCATTAAATTTTCTTAAAATGAATCTTGACCATTGCAAGGAGAAAGTGAAGTAGGGAATGTAAGGAGAGGATCCTTGCTCCACCTTTTGCTAGTTGTTAGGACTATTCAATTAGGTAGCGGTTAGTCACAAACTCACATACATGTAGGATTTTGAACCCACACTTTTACACTGGGTATGGTTCGCTTAAACCTGAAAAGTTTATCTTACCAACCATATATATTGTCACCCGAATAATTGGCCTAAAAAAAATGAAACCTCATACAAAATCTTACCAAATTACTGCACCCCTTGGGTTAGTTCTTAAAATACTTAACCTGGAGGGGGAGAGAAAGAGGGGTGTTGATTAGCTGTTAGTAACTAGTAATGATTTTTCCAGTCATGTTTATGTTGTAGGTAAGAAAAATTGCCAATGTTTTAGTGCACATGACATGACATGATGCTACCACTTTGTCCTACCGTTCTCATCATATGATTGAGCAATGGGCTTATTGTCTCATGATGCATACCTTTATTTTGTGACGAGATGAGATGGATAATGATTTTGCAATGTCTAATAATTATAATTTAAAAAAATATATTATTTAATTTTTTTAAAGGTAAATGTAACAAATTATATAATCATGATTATCAGATCGATTTTTAATTTTTTTTATAAATATTTTACACATAGGTTACAAATAAATAAAGAGTTATTTACACGGAAATCTCCTAAACTATTAAGAAGTATCGTTTTACTTCATAAATTATAAAAGCGTATAAATGGATCTCCTAAACTATTAGCGTGTTTCACTTTGATCCCTTCTGTCAGGAGGGCTAATTGGAACACTTTTATAATTTAAGAGATTTATTTGCACGCTTTTATAGTGTAGGAGGTAAAGTGATAATTTTGAATAATTTAGAGGATCTATTTGTATGTTTTTATAATTTAAGAAATCAAAGTGATATTTGTCAATAATTTAGTGAGTCTTTGTGTAAATAGCTCTATTAACAGTTTAAATCGTCAAAATGATACTCCTGACGGACTCGACAGAATCTTTCATTTCATACAGTGAACTGGAGACAATCCCATCCTATGTTGATTAATAGTTCACTAGTAAATTTTAGGGGACTCTGACAATTAGTTACTGTCCCATTGTAATCCACAAGAAATACCATTGGGCATATTTGGGGATGTAGTAGTTTGATTTTCTTTTCCCCTTGAAATAGTTTGAATTGTTAAAAGAAGAAAAGAAACATAATATAGTGTTGCTTTAGAAATTGTGCAATTATAAAAGAGTTATACTATTACTAGTAGAGACCTCAAATAAATTATAATTTTTTTTAATCAAATCTCTCACATGGCTGTGAGACCCACACACATGTGATTTGTGTGGATTCCATACCCATGTGAGAGATTTAGTAAAAAATTTAATAATTTATTTGAGATTCATAACATTTTCTATGGTAAAAACGCATAGGCTGAGAAGCATGAGAATGTGTATTTAAGTTTAATTTTGAGATTAGTCACTTCGTGTAATATAATGAGAAAATTAGATATGTTTTCAATCTTTCTTCTAAAAAACATCCTCAATAAACGGGAACCAACACGGTTATGTCCTTTAGCATTAAAAACAAAATAGAAGAAAAAAACAAAAGAAAAACTCATTAATTAACCAAATATAGCATATCAATAGCAATAGCAACAATAAAGCTTATTCAAAACCAAAATCATACAAGCTTTCACACAGGCAAGGCAATCAATCATAAATTTGGCAAATCTCAATTTTTCACTGAAATGAGGAATACAAAAATAAAAGTTGAGGGACAAGAGAAATTCAATCTGGAATCCATATGCATGTGTGGAGGTACAGAAAACTCTTTAACTGGAAAGCCATGTATTTATTAAATCTGCAGATGGAAGGGGAAAAAAAAAATTAATACTAAAGCTAAACAAAAATATAGCATAAAAAAGAATAAAGCGGATGAATTACATTTTGACCCTTGGCCTTGGGTCAAAATCACATCTTTACTGCTAATCTTTGTACTGCATTACAAGGGCCATATGGTCATTACCTTCATATTAGAGATAACAAACAATGGAGCATGTGATGATGCTATTACTTTGGGTTTATAATTAATTTTATACTTCTAATCTACTCCTGGAGAAATTTCAACAGCATTGATGTGGTAAGTGACGAGCTCACTTTCAAAATTATAAATATATATATGCCATGGTTGTTTGAGCAAACTTAACCTTGTAATTAGATTAATAATCTAACAAAATGTATAATTTGATATTTGGCTACAAAAATTGAGTCCAGACATAGCTTCCCCATATGAGAGACAACTAAATCCCAAAAGAAGGGGTTGGAACACAAAATGAAGAGCAATGGAGAGGTTTAAACTAGAGTAATGCTAGGATCCCACACTCACGTAAGAAATTTAGTAGAAATGTTAGTAAAACATTTGGAGTTCCTAACATTTTCCTTAAACTAATTAGTTAAATTGCAATATTGATAGGATTTTGTTAATCTCTCCTTATACTAGTTAATCGAAACAAAGATAGGATACACAATCCGAAAACATTTATAATCTTATGGCTAACAGTTTTAGGAATACTAATCCCATCTAATCCAATCTGTCTAAACAAACATAGCCAAGTGCACCAACAAGTTTGAGACACAAACCTTTATTCACTAAAATGAACTTGAAGGTATTGGAAGATGAAGCATATTGTAATCCTATTAAGTCACCTGCATTAATATTTCTCATTTGAAGAACTTCATTCCATCCCAACATGTATCTACCATTTAGCTTCTGAATGAAGCCAATACACTTGTTTTCACTAGTTTCAACATCCAAGAGTGTAACACTCACTCTATTCCCTTGCTCTATTGAATCAATCTCTTTTTTACTTGCAACCTTAAATATGTGCCCATCAACGTCTTCTCTCAACAAATCAAGTTGTTGGCTTTCAATTTCTTCCTTGGTGATAAATTTTAGGATTGGCCATGTGTTATTGGTTACATGATGGTTCTCTTCCATGTAACCCTTTTTCGAAATCTAATTTTGTTGGAAAACTTTGAATTAGCTCGATCGGTATCACAAATGGTGGATTGTCTTTGCTTGAGCTAAGCTTTTATACGATCATGAATGGGAACATTATTACAATGATCATAAGTAAAGATTACTGTAATAAATTTTGTAGAGTTGCTGGTGTAATTATCATGCAAGCGAGGACAAGGAAAGTGATATTGTATTACATTGGCAATTGAGAATATAAATTATACCCATATGCTAAATTATACCCATATGGCATATCCCCCTAAATAACCCAATTCTGTGTTTGGTTTCTGTATTCATCGACTTATTGCACATTAAATTATGAAGAGGTTAGGCAAACAATATCAGTAATTAATATATTGAAGTTGAGTTACCTTATATTACTAATCAGAATGCCTCAGAAATTCAAACAATCCACAGCATCCCCTCCAAAAAGTCCGTTCCAGAGGCCGCGGTGTCACAGCTATAAAATGCTGTCAAACATAATTCAAGAACCCAAAAAAAAAGACAAAGAAAGATCAATCCATAGAATTCAATTCAAAAGCGCAAACCAAAAAAAAAGAAAAAGAAAAAAAGATGAACAGAGCAGACCTGATTTTCTGTGCTTTCTGGAAGTTCAGACACGTTAGAATCCTTGCGATCTTCTGACTGCAAAACATTAGCAAGATTTTGGTTTGAAACCAAATCAGAAGCAGCGTTTGAGGATTCCTCTGGGTTTTCATCGGACGCTGGCAACATCGTTGTTTCTTCTGTTGCTTCCTCATTGTTCTTATTCTCAATCATGTCCTGCTCAATTCCCTTTGGTACCACATTAGTTAAAATAGAAGAAACATCACCATTCCGACCCGACGATGACAAATCAATTCCAATGGACACAACAGAATTTATGGAAACTCCATTGCTCTCATCCAAGGACTGCTCAGTTTTGTTTCCCACATCAGTATGCTCAACTTGGTCTTCTCCTTTAGCTTCTTCACTGAACTCATGAACAGGCTTAGTCAAGTCAAGAGAAGGCTCAGTTTCACCAACTGAATCCAAAGCATCCAACTTTTCTGAAACCAATCCTTGATGAGGGTTGGTTTCCTCCAAAGACTCCGAATTACTACTCTGTTGTTCTTCATTAACAGTCTCGCTCACTACTAGATCATCCACAACTTTGGACTCTGCGTTCTGGGTGTCCTCTAAATTGTAATCTTTTTCAAATACATCCATTATTGCTATTATGATTTGTGAAGAATCACTGCCGTCTCTTATCCTTTCTCAGAATTTTTATCTGTGGATGGTTTTGAATGACAGAGTATGCCACTTTTTTTTTTGATGAATTCTTGAGATGACAGAGAGGTTTTAGAGAAAGACAGATTGGGATAGAAAAAGAGAATATCTATCTGTAAGAGATTGGCATATGCCCATGAAGGAAGGAACAAAGTCCAAACATGAGAGAGAGAGAGAGAGAGAGAGAGAGAGGACTGTGTGAGTGAGATGACCATGACTATAAAGGAAGAGAGACGAACGGTTCAATTGAGAAGGAGAATGTTAAGTGAGGCACAAGTTGAAGTTGAATTGCAGTTGCACAATCTGCGAGATTTTAATTACTCCAATTTGACTTTGTTTCTTTTCTTTGGTTGTGATGTTTTTGAAAAATGCTACAGATAAGAAATTTTTTTAAAAAAATTACTAAAATTTTTATCAAATCACTCATATGAGTGTGGATTATGTGAGATCTACAGGTGATTGAAAATATTTTTAATAAAAATATGAGTCCCACTTTATATTAATATTTGATAATTTTTTAATAAAAAATTTAATGTCTTTAACATTTTTTTTAATAGTGTTACATGCACCAATTAATGCACACACTAATATACCAACTAGTGTTATGCCATTATTATTGATTCCACCTATTAGACAAATTATAAATATCCAAAACCTCAAAAATTATGTTAGTATATTAGTTATTAAATTAATTAGTGCATATAACATTATTCTTTTTTTTTTTTTGGACTATTAATGTCTCCAACATGGGTGATTATTCAGTATTCTCAGAGTATGGATACGTGGTACTCCATAAGATTTTGATTGGTAGAGAAGTGTAGAGGCCCACGATTTATGTTGGGGATGGAGGAACAATATAGGGACTGACTAATTAATAATGGGTAAATTACACTTATAGCCTTTGAGGTTTGAGTTTAATACATATCACCCTTTGCCGTTTGAAAAATTACACTAATACCCCTACTATTGTAATTACTTAGATGAAATAAAGATATTGAACTCATGTATTTTTTTTTTTTTTTTGCTTTGCTTTACTTTTTCTTTTTTTCCCCTTTTCCTTTACTTGTTTTTTTTAATGTAATTTCTACTATTTTTCTACTAAGAATTGTTACTTTTTATATAAGTAGAAGGTTTGTAAAATAAGACTATTAACCACAAAGGTAGAAATGTAATTTCCAAAACGTAAGGGATGAATAATAATTATATCAAACCTCAAGAAATGTCAATATAATTGATCTATTAATAATAATTAATTTAAAATATAAACACATAATGTTTCAAAATTATTAAATAATTTTCCCTCTAACATTACTGTTTATTTTTTGGCATCTTCAAATCTCAACGCGGGTTTGACTGGTTGTTATCCGTGTTTCTAAAGGAAACGTTTTGGGAGTGGAAACGTGAAGAGTTGGAAATCCAATTACAGTAATATTGTGAATTCAGAAAATTTACCTTTAAAAATAAATCAATGATTTACCATTATTGTAGGTGATTCATATCATATCCTGTTAATTTTAAATTTGTATCACACATTTATTTTCAGATTACGACTCAAGGTATATTTTCATGGTTCATAACATTTTTGATCCGATTAAATTAGAAATTTGTTCTTGATTTGTACCTAGAATGTGTTTGTATGATAGAAATTTAATTGGTATAATATGGGATCATGTATATAATCAATGTGATCACTATAAGAAAATAATTTGGATTAAATTAAATACAAATAAATAAAGACAGATTTATGATTAAATGTCTATTTTTTTATTCTTTATATAAAATAGATTGATACTGAAGTAATAATTAGATCACAACGTAAACTAAATGTCTTTCTATATACTCAACATTAGATTTTTATAGTTATCAACCTTTTAAACTGTGTTTAAATTACAAATTTAACCAAAAATATATAAAATTTAATTATGCTTTATTTTTATTTTTAAATTTATAAACCAAACGCAATATAAATCCTCGTTTGGTAAACATTACTTTTAAATTGCGTTTAAATTATAAATTTAAATAAAAACATATGAATTTAATTCTGTTTTATTTTTATTTTTAAATTTATAAACCAAACACAATATAAGTTCTCGTTTGGTAAACATTTTGGGTCTAAAAAAGCACAAAAAAATAAAATAAGTTATATAAGTTAATAAGATAAAATGTCACATTCAAATCATAATTATCATATTTTTTCTCTTGTAAAACTTAAAAAATTCAAAAATAAAAATCAAATAAGACTAAAAAAACTAGACTAAAAAAATTTTATCATAAAAAAGTTGACTACTTGGCCAATGCCAACGAAACTTTAGTGCCAAGTTTATTTTGTTGAAATGAAATGGGAAAATAAAGTCGTTATGTAATACAACCCTGCTAAATACCACCAGTGGGGGTCACACCCCCAGTGAGGTGGCGCGCCTCCACTGGCTAACAACCAAAAAAAAAAAAAAATAATTTTTTTGGCCTAATCACAGGCCTCCACCTCACTGGTAGTCGACCCCTAGTGGGGGTATAAAGCATTTTTGTATGTAATAACTCGGGACAGGCATAAAAGGCGGTTGTCGATTTCTACTAAATTAGTAGGAATATGTGGTGTCTCGGTCAAAGATAAAGAAAAATGATTTGGCTTCCCTTTCGTCCTTGATCGAATTAAAAGGTGTTATTAGATTCATAAAATTTATTATAAAGTTTATTTTAATAATTTAAATCGTTCAATTTGTAGAATTTGTAGAGTATTATATATTTGTAAAAAATTACGTTGATTGAATATCGATAGCTACGTGATCAAATCGGTTTTGTATAAAAAAGATGAATGGTAAAAAAATAAACGGTTGATAAAAATCTGATCGAATGAAATAGCTATCAATATCCGATTAACGTGAGTTTTTACAGGTATAAAATACTCGACGAGTTCTACATATTGAATGGTTTGGATTATCGAAACGGGATCCGTAATAGACCGTACAGGTCCAATTGCATCGTCCAGTCCGTATCGAATCGGAGAGAAGCCAATCCCAAAAAAAAAAAAAAACAAATGAAAAGACATTTGGAAACATAGGAATTTAAGTGAGATTGAACCTTAACATCTCAAGGATCAATTGGCAGTAATATATGGTTTCTTCATTCTGAATTTGCCGACATTGGAAGTAGGAATGGTTGGTATTGAACGGGGAAATGCAAAGCAATACATGGTACTTGAGGTCTAATTTGAGAAGTTAGGTCTCGTTCTATTTTAATAATTTTTTAATTTTTATAAAAATATGTGTAAAAAAATAAAGAGAATAGTGTGATAATTTATAATAATTTTTTAACTTTTTAATTAAAATGTATGGTTGATAAACGAGACCTTAGTTAAAAGTTAAAAATTGACTTTTAATTTATTTTGAATCATATTATATCTTTATTTTTTTTTACACATTTTTATTAAAAAAATCAAATAATTAATTTAATTAATTTTTCCAAACAACCTTAAATGTTGAGAAAGTTCAAAAGGTTTTATTTGTATCACTCTTCACCATCTCATGTATATATGAGTTGAGATTGGGAAAGAGATGTGAGAAGAGTGTGAAAGGTGTAAGAAGTACTTTAAAAAATGATTGAGAATTCTAATAAAGGAATTTTAATAAGAATGAATCCAATTGTGATGTGATATTTTGACTTTAATTTTATTATTTTTATTCTTTGTCACATCATTAAAGTTCAATTAAAATTCTAAAATTAAGAAATGTTGAGTCAAAGTATGAGATGCAAATTATCAGTGAGTGGAAAGTTCATGGCTCGGAGCCAGGGCCAGAGTTTTTATAGGGCCTAGGTGAATTCTTAAGAGGGGTCCTTCAATAATTAAAAATAAATTATTAGCTAGTATATAATTAAAATTTATATACATTAGAAAATGCAAAATGATAAAAATTTGGGCATATTGCTGTAAAGTTTAGCAAAATCATGTTTATAATAAGGAAAAGGAAAAGAAAAAGAAAAAAAAATCCAACAAATGTAAAGTAACAATATCAAATAATAACTAAACAAACTAAAATAAAATATCACTTAAATATTATTCTTATTGTAAATATTATTCTTATTGTATTTACTAATTAAGCTTGTATGCTCTAATTTATCAATTACATTCTTTTTAGGTTAATGCACATCTTTCAAAAAAAGATAATTAAAGGTCATAATCAAGTACCACTTGAAGCAAAATTAAAGATCTCTTTTAGTCAAAATCACAAATTTGTTTGGATGATCAAGTGTCCGAACGAGCTTACGCACACTTTAATTAATCTTGAGATTCACGTAAAGCGCTCCTGCCATGTGAATTAGGAAAAGCTTGTAGGCATGGCCTTAAGGTGTTGATAGCACCTAGTAGGAGTTGAACCTAATACTTGAAGGGAACACACTCCTAGATCTCAAGTTGCACCTATTAGACTAAAATAACAATCATAAATCATAATCAATATTACAATAATTCATAATCAATAGTACTATGAGTTATAATATAAAGGCCGCAAAGATTATAACTTAGATATATAATAGTATATATATTTTTAAAGTCGCGTGCTACAAAATTTCTCATTCTTCTCCCAACAACGTTCATGTATAATTTCTTTTTCAATTTGGGCCAACAAGGAATTTTTTTTACCTCTTTCAATTTGCCCCAAGCAGGAATTTTTTCGGCCTCTTTATATTGGGGCCTCAATACTAGATTGGGCCACAATATAATTTCTAATAACGTAATTGACTAAGATATTTGGGAGCCCCTATTTTGATTCAAATTTTGGGGCCAAGGCAGAGGCGACTGTGGTAGTAAGGGTGACGCATCAATGCCATGCTGAAGCCGAAGCTGAAGTTTGAGTGAGTGAAGAGGGTTCTGAGTTTGTTCTAAATATCAAAATTTGATCCCTCCCCGTTCAAACCAAGTGTATTTCTGAGACAATTTTGAAAATTGGCACGATTTATTGATTTATGGATAAATTACACTGGTAGTCCTTATATTTTATTCTTTGTGTCATTTTGATCTTTACACTTTCAATTTTGATTCTTAATTATAGATTTTGTGTCAATTTGATCTAATTGATTAACTCACTAAGTTGAGTAAATTTATACTTGTCTTTAAAAATATGACACATGATATTTATGTGCATATTTTTCATAAAAAATGTTAAGAATTATAATCAATTGGATCAAATTGAGATACAGTCATAAATTTAGAATCAAAATTGAGCTGACAGAGGCTAAAATGACACAAAAACCAATGCATAAAGACTACCATCGTAATTTGCCCTAAATTTCTTGTATGTATGTACATAAAACTGTAAACAATAGAGTATTTACCAATAAATATAATACAAACAGAAATTGAATATTGTCGAAATAACAAGATATAATTGAGTGTTTTTTTTTTGGGTTTTGTTTAGTGGAGGCTGGATTGGTTGCATTCAGGAGTGAGACCCTGAGGGAAACGTTTGAAGTCAGTGCAGTAGTTATGAGCATTCTTTTGAACCCATTTCAGTCTCTTGACATAAAGTTGTCGGTTCATCCAAGTAGCAGTGCTTGTCATGGAATTAGTGTTAGAGCCACAAGATGATGTATTATTAGATGACCAAACACAAGCATTGGCATTGAAATTCTTGTAAGAGGCTGTAAAATGAGCTTTAGTACAATCTGTCTTCACTCTACCGCCTTGTGTTGCCCAGTTGTCCGCATTCCAAATGCTGGAGTAAACTCTCATTGCTTGGCTGTTCGGGAATGGAACGCCAATTGCTTCGTTTTTATCAAACACTCTTAACGGAATATTATCCACCATGAAACTGACAAACCAAAAAAAAAAAAAAAAAAAAAAAAAAAAGAAGAGAAGATTATATTAGACAAAAAATAAATCGACATTAATTAGGTAACGAGGAAGGCAAATTAATAGTAACAGTACATGATGCGTCGGGGTTTCCAGACGATGGAATAGGTGTGAAGGGCAATTGTTGGGTCGAACCAGACATAGAACTGTTGCTCTCTGTTCACCTTACCTTGGGTGAAAATATTGGTGTGGACTATGTATGGATCTCCTGACAAGTTGCCCAAGAACTCAAAATCGATCTCATCATGTAACGCTCCTTGGGAAGATAACTGCATGGTCACGGGGATACGATATATATTGTTAGCCACGTAACGTGGTGCTAACTGTTGTACTCTTTAAAAAAATAAAGTTGTATGTGTTGATACAGTTTATCCTAGTAAATGGAGCGAACTGGTCCAAGCTCCTCAAGCCCAAGCTCAAGCCCAAGCCCAAGCCCAAATGATCGAGCCCATTGGATAACCTGCAAGCAAGTTCAACGGGGAACGGGATAGTCCCCCAGTGAATCCTCTGACGAGCAAGTTAGGAAGAGAAGTAGAGTATATGGGGAGAGATTAGAGATAGAGAGTTTAACCTTTTTCTTGTCTTCAACGTTCGCTTATATCCTTTGGCAATCATTTCGCTGTCCCTTCTGACTTGCTCTCCTCGCCGAAAGCCTATGCTGTAGCTTACCTTGCTCAGGGTAAAGCGGTCCTGTTCCAGCGGAGAGGTGTTGTCGTAACAAATGCTGTGATGGACTGCATTAATGGTGATGTGCAGTGGCAATAACTTTACAGATCTTTGTCTGCTGATGTGGTTTGTCCTTCTCTTGCCATGTGTCTGAATGTCATTGGCTCTTTATGCCATGTTAGACTCCAGCTGTCCTGGACCTCACCAGCTGGGTTATGCACTGGGCTCCAAGTGATGGGCTTGGGTTGTCCATAGGTGATTCGTGGCCTTTATGGGCTTATGCATGTCAGTAGTCCCCCAGTCCCGAGTGCCGCTTTAGTCCAACGAAGGGAATATTAATGATGTAGATGAGTGTGTTAGGGATTGGCAGGATGGAGGTCGACCGGAAGGGGTGATCGAGGGGGGTGAGCCGACCGGGAGGTGGTCCGACTGCGCAGGGCGACCAAGTGGAAGGGCCGATCACGGAAATGACCGATTGCAAGGTTGGCCGAGTGGGATGGTCGATAGCGAGGAGGGCCGACCGCGGCGTTTGGCCGAGTGGGAGGGATGACCGCGAGGGGGCCGACCGCGGTGTTGGCCGAGTGGTATGGTCGATAGCAAGGAGGGCCGTCCGCAGAGGGTGAGGGGGGAAGGGGAGACCGACCATGGGGCTGACCGCGAGGAGGGCCGACCACGGTGTTGGCCGAGTGGGAGGGCTGACCACGAGGAGGGTCGACTGCGGTGTTGGCCGAGTGGGATGGTCGACAGCGAGGAGGGTCGACCGCTGCATTTGGCCGAGCGGGAGGGCTGACCGCGAGGGGGGCCGACCGCGGTGTTGGCTGAGTGGTATGGTCGGCAGCAGGGAGGGCCGACCGTGAAGGGTGAGGTGGAGGGGCGTGGGGCTCGAGACGCGGCGTGTCACGTGGTGAGTTGAAGTAGAAAAGACAAGGTAAGGAGAGGAGACAGGGGATCGTGGACGTACACGTGGCAACATCCCGTAGGGGGGAAGATTAGGCGTTGGATCAGAAATGAAACGGTAAGTCATTATGGGGGTTGAAGAGACAGTTTTGGCGGATGATTTTGAAAAGTTTTTAAAATGGCAAAAATTAATTGGGATCCTTGGAATACGGGCAAACCGTGGGCTTTTGGCATTATTCGATTCACCTACCTATTTACGAAAAATCAAAATATTCCAAGTGTGAATTCCTTTGTTGCTCACAATACACCTCTGCAACACGTTTTCAATTTCCTTGTACCTGCCGCCGAAGCGATTCGCAAACATACCACAAAAATGGCCCAAGATGGAAATGCGATTGTCAGGGTGGACCCGCTTGGAGATGATGATGTTGTGGAGCTAGCGGCGCAGTATAGGACAGAGAGGGTGGGGGAGTCGGTGGTTCGATCCCACGGTTCCACCATGATAGCAGCTCCAAAGCCAATCAGCCAGGCGGAACCAGATCATTGGTACATGAAGGCTGACAAATCCACGATTACTGCGGCGGAGTTGGAGGCTATCTGCGAAAGATACCAGATCCCTGGGGAAGTGGAGTTATTGCTGCCGACATCAACGGAAAGGCCGTCTGACGCCAGGCCATGAGAGTTTTCCCTTTATGAGGAAGCTCTGAAGGGTGGACTGAGGTTACCACTGCCGCAGGTGGTAGTGGATGTGCTCAACTGTCTGGAGGTAGCACTGGGGGAACTAATGCCCAATGCATGAAAGATCCTGCTGGCCTGTGCAAGTTCGTGGCCAAAGGCGAATGGAGGGGAGGCTATGACGGTAGACGAATTCTTTGTATGTTATAAGGCCTCGGGGCAGCAGGAGATGTGGGTCACTCTGCAGGTAGCAGTGGGGAAAGGGTTGGTGGCAGGGCTGCCGTTTTCGATCAAGGGATGGCGACCACGATGGTTCTACGTGTCTGCTATGGGGGACTTGGAGTGCGTACCATTTGGAAAGTACCCATCAGGTCTGTGGAGCCGAAATTGGGAGCAGCCGTAGAGGAGAGGGTGAAGAGGGTGAAGGAGTGGAGGGAGAAAGAAGTGGCCAAATGGGACGAGCTCGTTCAGCCGTCTGCATTGTTTGAGGCAGGGTTGGGTCCAAAGCCAAGTAGTGGGGACCTCGACCGAGCGGAGTTGGAGGCGAGGAGAAGGGCTTAAGAGGTGGAGGATTAGGCCATCCTTGCTAAAGCCCAAAAATTCAAAGAGTCCCAGGCCGACCGACCACCAAAACCGGTTGCGAGGGAGAGGATTCGACCTCGCCCCAAACCCTTGGGAGAGAAAGACTTAGGCAATTTTGTGCCACGGCCGCCCCCAACAGACCCTTTGAAGGAGAGGTCTTTGAAGGAGATGGATGTGTTAGGCGTGGGGAAGAAGAAGAAGAGGGTGAGGCGGAGTGAGGAAGTGCTTGCCCAGAAGAGGAGGAGGGAGACAAGTGTGAAGGACACCAGTGCTGCCAAGGGGGCTGAGGGAGAGAAGTGGAGGGGACCCCAGGAAGGGTAGGTGGCCCAGAAGCGGTGGATGTTGCTTCAGAGGGCATGGAGGTGGTGCCAGTGGTGGCGGCGATCGCCGCGGGGGTCGCGAGGGCCGTTCCTGAAGGGCAAGGAGAGGATGGGGCAAGCGGCCCTGGCTCAAGAAGAGAATAGCATCCCTAGGGGGGCCCTACACCCCAAGGAGGGGGAGTTGGTCTGACCACGGCGATCTACCACGCTCGCGCGGTGGCTGGGCGGCTGGAGGGAGAAGAAGGCCCAGCTAGGGTAGGGGCAGACCGCCTGATGGGGATCGTAGAAGAGGCAGCCCTGCGCTCGGCATCCAGATTCAACGAGGCTGAACTGCTAAGGGGGTTATGCTCCGCCCAAATGGAGGTAACCACCTTAGCAGGGGCTCTGTTGAGGAAAGCGGGGGCTGCCAAACTCAAGGTAGATGAGGCCAAGGCCCAGCTTGGGAAGTTGGAGAGGGAAAGGGCGAGTTGGAAAGCTGCCCATGCTAATCTGCAGGCAGTTGAGGTGGACCTGGAGAGCACATGCCGCTAGGTTGTGTCGCTCAAGTTCCAACTTGCTAGCGAGCAGAAGAAGTTGGAGGAGGCCCAAAGAGCCTGCGCCGTCGCAGTCGAGCGACATGAAGAGGCCATGAGCAGTAATGAAGAGCTGGTCAGGCAAAAAGATGAGGCCGATGGCAAAGTGGGCGATCTCCAGAAGGAACTGGAGGGTGAGCGCACTAAGGCAGTAGAGGAGAGGGGGAAGCTTCAGAAGGAGTTGGAAACAGAGAGAGCACAGGCGACGGCGGAGAAGGAGAGCTTGAAGAAGAAATTGGAGGCGGAAAAGGCAAAGGCTGCGTCGGAAAGGACGACCCTGCAAAAAGAGTTGGGCGAAGAGAGGGCGAAGGCAGCCTCTGAAAGGGCGGCTTATCCCGATCTGTGCGTCGCAGCAGTGGAGCAATTCAAAGGGTCTGCCGAATTTCAAATGGCGGTTGATGCCGCGGTCGCGAGCAGCCTGACTAGGCAAGAATCTAGGGGGGCGGGCCCATCGAGGACGACTGCTGGAGGTAGAACTGAAGCAGAAGTTATTGAGAGCTTCTAGCAGTCAGACTTTTATAAGCACGAAATGGTTGAGTACTGGGACAGTGGCTGGAAGACGTTCAAGCGTAGAGCTGAAGAGCTGCTCCCAGACTTAGACCTTAGTAGTGTGACGATTGGCAAAGACGATGTGGCCCAAACCCCCCTGGATGAGGGCATTGAAGAAGAAGACCTCCTCTCCAGTGAGGAGGAGTAACTGGGGAGGAAAGAGAAGGAGACTGTGCATCGACATTGTTTTGTTGTTGTTTTTTTTTTTTTGAATTGCTGTAATGAACTTTTGTATAAAGTTGTGGATAAATAAAATTTCAGTTGTGTTGTGCATTTCGCTGTTTTTGCTTGTGCGTCTGAAATGGATGAAAACATGTGATAAAAACTTGTGGTGAACTTGTGATAAAAGTTGCATTTAGGAATTCCTCAAGACAGAGTGGGATTGAAATTGTAATAAGGACTGGGTAGACTCCTTAAGGCAGAGCGAAATTAGACTTGTAATAAAAACTCAATGCAGAGTAAAGTTAAACTTGTGATAAAAAACTCAATGCAGAGTAAAGTTAAACTTGTGATAAAAAACTCAATGCAGAGTAAAGTTAAACTTGTGATAAAAAACTCAATGCAGGCTGTGGCGCTCGGTCTGGCTAAGACTTGTTAGGCAGGCCGAGTGCCTCTTGCTCGGTCTGGCAGAGGCTCTTATTGCTCGGTCGGGCCGAGGTTTTTGATGCTCAACTGGCTGAGGCTCTTGTGCTCAGTCTTGCTGAAGCTTTGGATGCTCAGTCTGGCTGAGGCTTTTGATGCTCAAGTGCACATTTGAAATACGCTCGGTCTGGCTGAGGCTTTTGATGCTCAAGTGCACATTTGAAATACGCTCGGTCTGGCTGAGGCTTTTGATGCTCAAGTGCACATTTGAAATACGCTCGGTCTGGCTGAGGCTTTTGATGCTCAAGTGCACATTTGAAATACGCTCGGTCTGGCTGAGGCTTTTGATGCTCAGTCTGGCTGAGGCTTTTGATGATCAGTTTGGCTGAGGCTGTTAGTGCTCAGTCTTGCTGAAGCTTGGGATGCTCAGTC